CCTCCCCTGTCCTGTGAGGACACCGTGAGAAGCCGGAGGGCCTCCCCGAACGCTGGACTTCCCGGCCCTCGGGACCGGGAGGAAGACGTTTCTGTGGTTTCAGCCGCCCCGTCTGTGACTTTGCTACACTGGTCCGAGCAGACGAATATCGCACAGGGACCACACCCAGACGGAGCAGGCAAACTTGACTTGGCCTGAAACGCAGGGCTCCCGGGTTCCCGTCCCAGAAGGGCCCCTGGGGGTCACCCGCCGGCAGAGACCGGGGATGCTCACCCCGGAGCCTGCACGGGGCTCAGCACCGGGCACTCAGGGCTTTCTGTGTAATTTCCCAGAGATCATCTGTAGCTCGGGTTAGCTTTGCGGGGGGCCTGCGGCTCACAAACGACTAGACCTGCTTTCCTGGAGGTTCTCGGGTGGTGCAGACACACAGACTTTTTCCAGACGCGGTTTCCCTCTGCCCCAGTGAAGAGAGGACAGTTACGGCAGTGGGAGGGCTGATGTGTCCAGGTCGGCGCTCTCAGCAGGGAGAGGCAGCTCTACCCCACTCAGAGAGAGAAAGGTTTCAGCCTGATTCTCAGACGATGAGATAAGCAAGTCTGCAGACAGGTGAGGTCATGCCTCCGGGACCGGCGAGCTCAGGCGGCAAAGAGGGATGACGGAACGCCAGGTGCTCCTGCAGGAGCTGGGGCGCTGTCCTCACCGGTGGCGCCGCACCCCAAAATGTGTCCCCTGATGCTGTCGGGTCTGTGTGTCTGCTGACGGCAAGGCTGCCCTCCTGCGGCCCCATCGACACGGGGCGGCCTCGTTAGAGAGACGCCTGCTTTGTTTCCAAGAACCCCTCGGCGGACACCCGGCAAGCCGGGCGGAGGCACGCGGGTTCCGGGTACAGCGCCGAGCACGCCTGCAGCCAGCCGTCCAGCGAGGTGGGGGCTGAAGCCGCACGGGGGTGCCCCACGTCCGAGGCTGGGGTGGGCCCTGCCGGTGGCAGGCACCCAGGGCCAGCCCCGGGAGCAGAGGCCTGGCCCCGCGACAGCAGGGCAACCAAAGGACACGCTCCCCGGGAGAGCTGGGGGTTGCCAGCCCTGCGACACTGCCTGGTCTACGGATGTGAAAACACATCATTTTCATGACAGTTAGGAAACCCGTCATCCTAGCTCCCCATCGTCCACGCAAGAGAAGCCATTCTCTGGCAGGTGCCCAGTGGTTTTCGGAGGCTGCTGGCCCAACCACAGGGTTTCCTTCAAAATCTAGGAAGGCAGACGGGACAGGTTTTGACAAGGAGACGATTGCTCCCAGGGTAATTTGGAAAAGGATTATTCTGCCCTGTCAGATCATCTCAGGAAGATGAACCCATAGCGGGAAGAGCTGGACGGTCGGGTCTAAGTTCCCAGGCTGCCCATCTTGTCCTGTGAGAGGCCGACCTGTTCCTGCAGACCACCAAATGCCACATCTTTCCCCAGAACATCACCCGGGACCCCACCAGTACCATCTACTCCATGGTACGCTGTTCTACTCTCCTTTAAGAAGAATCACATGGAGGCCCCTGGGTGGCTCAGTCGTTAAGCCTCTGCCTTTGGCTCAGGTCATGATCCCGGGGTCCTGGGATCGAGCCCCGCTTCGGGCTCCCTGCTCTGTGGGAAGCCTGCTTCTCCCTCACCCACTCCCCCTGCTTATGTTCCCTCTCTGTGAAATAAGTAAAATCTTAAAAAAAAAAAAAAAAAAAAAAAAGAGGAAGAAGAATCCCCAAGATCCCACAACTCCTAAGAACACAAAAGCTAGTGTGTAGCAGGCTCAGTACTGGACCCAAGATCTTCGCATTTTTTTTGAAGTTTTTGTTCTTATTTTATTCATAAATTTCCTTTTCAAAAAAAGGAAAACAAGTTGATAAATTCAGATTTATATTATAGTAATAATAGAATAAGGGAGGGGGGTGCCCGGGTGGCTCAGTCGGTTAAGCATCTCACTCTTGATTTCGACTCAGGTCACCTTCTCCGGGTTGTAAGACCGAGTCCCATGTTGGGCTCCGTGCTGGGCATGGACCCTGCTTAAGATCCTCGGTCTCCCTCTCCCTCTGGCTTCCCCCCACTCCCCTTGCTTGTGTCCTCTCTCACTCAAGATAAAGGGTCAGAGTGTGATTAAAAGGGAACGTACAGGCTACAGACTGTAGGATTCCAGCGGCGTGATGTGCTGGGAGAGGCGGAGCTAGGGGACAGCAGGAAGTCCGGGAGGAAGCAGGAAGCAGGGAGGGAGGGAGGGACAGGAGTGGCACACGATGTTTGGGGCAGGACACTGTAATGACGCATACAGGTGATCGTGTCTGTCTAGAGGCCTCGAGCGAACGCGCCAAGTGACCCGGGCACACCCTGTGGACTCCGGGTGCTGCTGTCTGTGTGGACGCAGCAGTCGTGGCACATGGGCCCTCCGACCAGGACGCCGACGGGAGGGGAGGCCGTGCAGATCGCGGCAGGAGGCAAACGGGAAATCTCTGTACCTTCCCTTCGACAGCACTGTCATCCCCAAAACTGCTCTAAACAATGAAATCTACTTATAAAAGCATCAGTACGAAGCAGGGCAAGTACAGAGCAGGACTGAGTCACAGGCCCTTCTGCCTCTGACTCTGGGCTTCCTGGCAGCCAAGATGAAGAGTGCAACACAAGGGCTCCCAGAGTGGCAGTCAGACCCTCCCCCGAATCCCACAGGCGAAAGCAAGCCCAGCGAAGGGTCCTGGTGGCTTTTCAGAGAGAGGCCAGCAGCACACTCCGGCCCTGGTGGCTTCAGACACGGGTCATGGGGGACTGGACTGGACCTTGGAATTGGGATGTTTTCACTGCACTGGAAGGGTTTTGGGTCCCGTCTCGTGCTGTCCTGGAGGCTGTGGCCCTTGGAGACACAGGCCTAGGGGATGGACAGTCTCGGGTAAGACCAGCCAGTGCCAGAGAAGCCTGTCCAGCAGGGTCCTGGGGCAGGCTCTAAGTTCACCCAGCTCTCTGAACCTTCGGTCTGTGTGTGTAGGACCAAGCACCCCTCCTTCCCTGCACTGGGGCACGAGCCTGGAGAAGGGCTCCCGTGGACTCGGCCTGGGCGGAGACAGACCCCTGTGCAATTGAAATTCAGTGATTTTGGGAAACGCAGCAAGCTGTACAATAGAGCATTCCTTTCCAAACAGATGAGAAAATCAGTGTAGGGCCCCCGGGGTGCCGGTAGGGAGCACGGGGTGAGGGTCTAGAAGCTCCCTGGTGGTGGGATGCCTGGGCCAGGATCGCAGGGAGCAGGCAGATGGGAGGGCTCCCGGGGCAAGAGGGGGCCGGGGGGCAGCCGGGCAGAGACAGCCCGCCCGTTTGCGCTCTGCAGGAACGCAGTGAGGATGGGGAGGGAGGGCTGGGCTGTGGGCTGGCGGTCCAGATCGATGGGAAAGGGCAGTGCTGGCCCACAGCACACGAAGGACGCTGGCTTCTGAGATGCCGTTCGCAGGGGCAGATTTCAGAAAGCTACGTGCTCCGGACACCTGCCGAATCAAGGAGGCCTGCAGGAGGCAACGCCGATGGCCACGCGACCCACGCCGGCAAGCCGCAAGGATGGGAGCTCGCTGCTGCTTCAGGGCCGGGCCCGGCCTCGTCCATCGCCCCGTGGTCAGGCCGTGCACCCTGCCTTCAAGGGCGAGCGCACTCAACTCCTCGCGGGCTCCCCTGGAGACGGACTTGCCGAAATCCCGTGGGGGAAGGCACCTCCCTGGAGCTCAGCGCAGCCGGAGTTTGCCGCTCCGCTCCTCTCCGCACGGCCCAGGGCAGCTGCTGGTCCCCGCGTCTCCTCAGAGGAAGACAGAGCCGCTCCCCGCGGATGTCCCCGCGCCCGCAGGACAGGCTGGGCTGCTAGCCGCCAGGCAGGACCGTCCTGCTCCCAGGCCGCCGCCGAGGAAAGAGGCCACAGAGCGCGGGGGTGCGGGGGCAGATCCGGACTTTATTTGCTGCGGCTCCTTGGCGCCGGTTTACAACGCAAAAAAACCAGAGGAACGAAAACAACTGGAATAATAATTATAATTTTTTTTAAAACCCTGTCAACAACTTTCAGTCATTTCTTTATATTTTATATTTTGACAAAACTTTTTTTAAACAAATACAAAATAATCTAAAAGGAGAGAAACTATACACGGATATTTACAGTCAGGTAAATAGACTAACACTGATCTGGTGCCCCTGGGGCTGTGTGGGAACCAGGGCAAGGGCGCGGCCGGCGGCGGGGCAGGCGGGCCGGGACACCCTCCGGTCCCCTTATGAGCTCCGGCACGAGTACGGCTGCAGCCGCTCTAGGGAGGGCCTGTAAGAGGGGGTCCCGAGAGTCCCCCCGCCAGCACCCCCAATCACGCCCCTTCACAAAGGCCACGTCCCGAGAGACCCGCCTGCCCTCACGGAGCCGGAGGAGCCGGGGTCCCGCTGCCCAAGGAGACCAGCAGCTCTTCGCCTTCCTCCAAGAGGCGGTGTGTGCGCTGCCTGGTCCCGGGGGACGCAGTGGCACTGGGATGGCCTGAGCCGGCCCCTGCCGGGCCTGCACCAGCGCCGGCCTGGACAAGTGGCGGGAGCGGCCCCAAGAGTCCCTGAGAGGACGGCAGGAGGACGCTGCGTTTCGTGGCTCCCTCCACACCGTAAGTTAGGCCGTCGGGGGAGGAAGGTCGCGAGCCAGGCCTCGTCCCCCTCGCGCTCCGTCTGCCCCCGCTGGGCAGATGAAGGCCCCCTCCCCTTTAGTGCCCCCCACCCCCAAGTGGTGACAGTAGTCCAGGTCAGGGCCAGAGTTGAGGCAGAAAAAGCTGAAGACCTAAGGTGGTCAGGTAAGACCTGCTCCTTCCTCTAAAACGAGGACCGTAGCTCTGGGGGAGGAGGAGGAGGAGACAGGCCTCGGGGACCGCCTTCCTCACAGTTTTGGCTACTGGGTGCTTAGCTCGAGGGAAAATGCTGACTTGGCATCTTGAAGCCCCACGAGAAGGAGCTCGCGAAGAGGAGAAACGGGAAAGCCCAGCGGTTCTCTCCCCCCAGCGTCCCCAGCACCCGGGACGGAGAAGCACCAGCCCCACCGCTGGCCCCCGGGGCCCGGCCTCACCCGTGTCCACCGCCCTCGACCTCCGGCTGCCGAGAAGCCGGCTCCCGCCAGCGGCTACCGGGGGCTCCCACCACGGCCCAGGCAGAACGCCTCTGACCGCTCGACTTTAGCTTTTTCTCTCTTTAAAAAACAAAAATATATCTTTATAGTACGTGGCTTCTCTTCCATCCCACTTCTCTCTGAACATAGAATAATATACCGACAACGTGTGTTCACGGCGCAGGGCGGAAGGCCGCTCCACAGGGAAATAACCGAGAGGTAAACAGTTGGCTTCGAGCTCTGCCGTCACACCTGCCAGCGGGAGACTTGCAAGGAGGTGACGTGCTGACTGGGGCCCCGTTCTTTGGAGAGAGAAAGGCTCCCAACCCCACGCCTGATGGGCGTCAGATCCCCCTCCCCCTGCAAACTCCTCCCCTTCTCCCACTTAAAAACAAATGGCAAAGCTGAAGCCAGTCTCTAGGAACTCAGGGTGATGCCCAGCAGGGGACAGCCCTGTCCAGCAGTCCACCCCCCCACGTCCGTGGGGGTGATGGGAGGAAGAACCTGGGGCCTCGCACGCCTCGCACGCCGGCGCCGCTCGTTGGGCAGACTCAGTGTCTCTTCGTGGAGGAGACCTTCTTCTTCCGCGCTGCCAGCATCTCGTAGAAAGGGTCCCTGCTGATGGCTGCTCTGGACACACAGAGGGGAGAAAACGGAACAGACTGAGGAACAGGGCCGGGAGACCACCCCGGGCAGGCGCTTGCCAGCGGCCCTTGTGTCCCCTGCCACCTGACTGCCAAGGCCACGTCAGCGGCATCAACCTTCAGCATGTCCGTGCGTGACTTCCGGGACAAGCTTTGAGACCCATGGTACGTGCAACAAGGTCACTCTGGACTGTTCACTGCCCGTTTCCACCTAATGGTGGGCTTCGGCTTCGGAACACAGTACTACACACTCTTACCAGACGCCAGCCCAGAAAGACAGTGTGCTACTTCAGTCCACAACGACAGCGAGCACCACATAATCGTGGCCCACGGCGGCCTGACACGTGCCACTCTGATGGCTGCCACAGTCGGAGCCAGGCAACTTCCGAGTCCCAGATGCACCAGCCCGATAACTAAGACCGTCCACACGGTCACGGTGCCTCGGGGTGCGGCTGGCCAGGCCTGCTCTGCATCCACAGCCTGGCAGGGAGGGAGCCTGGGTGTGCCCTGGCACTGGCCCGGAGACCCCACCACATGACAATGACAGCAGGACCACCCCCGTGCACCTGTCCTTCCCAACCGTCCAGCACGTGGTGCCGTGAGTCCCGCTGACCACAGGCTCCACGCCTGACCAGGTAAATGACAGGCCTGGCAAACAGACTGTGGCCTATCACCAGGGGTGACGTGTCCCCGACAAGGGTCTCCACAGCTCCCCGGGGCAGCTAGAACCGACAGTCCCTGGCACGTGTCCCAGGGGACCTTGCCACAAAGGCCTCAGTTTCAGTGTCGAGAGCCAAGGACGCGGAGGTGCCGCTTGCCACACGGCGGTCAGGGGTGCGTCTTGCTGGGTCGCGAGGCTCAGGCTGAAGACAGGCGCCGCCTCCATCACTCCAGACGGGTCACCCGCCTTGCTGCGCCTCAGCGCCTCATCTGTGAAACGGGGACGGCCATGCTTTGCGGGCCGCACTGACGGGCAAGGCGCTGGTGCCCCGAGCGCACAAACACGGTGTGCGAATCCCGCCCCGGGCCCCGGCAGGACTGAGCCAGCCCCAGGGCACGGCGCACACCTGCACTGAAGACGGGACGATTCCAAACGCAACTCTCCAGGACGCTTGGTGGCTCTGGCTGCAGGAGTCAGACCCCGTGACGGACAGAACACAGTCGCAGACAAACCACGTAACAGCGCGCGGGGGCAGCCGTCACCACCCCATGCCGCTGCGGTGAGACCCGGTGGGGCCCAGACTGTAACCAGCGCACACAGGCGCCTAATGCCGCTTGGCCAGCTATCGCAACGCCAGCTGGTCACCCAACCCGAGAACTTATATCCCTTCCTTCGAACCACACACTAAAGATACACTTCACAAGGACACAGGAGTTAAGTGTTTTTTTAAAAAATGCACCGTGAAAACGAAGCGCAGGACCCGTGACGGAGGGTCACCTGCCGGCTGATACGCCCCGGGCACGGCCACTCCTCTGCCCAGACCTCGGCTCACGGCCCTAACGTTTTCATTTAAATTCATTAGTTACCACACGATGTGGTACAGGTTTCCAAGCACAACAGAGCGAGTCAGCACGTCCACATGTCGCCCGTGGCCCATCACGCATGCGGGCTCTGCAGTCTCATCGCTGGTACTGACTCCGGGACACTGGGCTGCCTCGTCTACGGGTGAGGGTCAGAGAGCTCGCATCGAGGAGGGGAGCTGCCGGGGTCACCCCACGACCCCGCCTCACCCCAAAACGTCCCAGCAGTTATCCCCATCCCACCGAAGGGGCAGGAGGGGTGCCCGTCTCTGGGGAGGCCCAGGGTCTGGCAGGAGGCCAGGCAGGTGCCTGCATCGGAGGGAACTCAGGACTGGGCAGCCTGACCCCGGCCCATCTCTTCAGGCCAGGACTTCTAAGCAGACCGCCAGGAGCCCCCCACGCGTCCTTCTTCAGTGTCCCGTCTGCTGTTTAACCCTGGCCAGACCCTGCAGCGGCTTCAGCAGCGATACCAAAACACACCCCAAACTCGAGCGCTCCCCCTCAGGAGCAGGCTGTGGCCGCGGCAGGAGCATGACCGTCCTGGGGAGTGGGGGGTCCGCAGGGCCTCGGGTCACCCAGTCAGGGTGGCCTCCTGGCCTCCGGGGAAGTCACACACTCTCAGAACAAACTGCCACCAAGACAAGCAGCCACGCCACGCCCACGGGGTGCGACAGCCACGTGGACAGGCTTCGTGGAAGTCCCAGGGAGGGAGAGGACAGCTGTAGCCCGTCATCACCCTCACGCTGTGCAGCTCAGCCGAGCCCTGTGTGTCGCAGCTCTGTCTATACCCAAGGAAGCCTAAGAACCCTCCTCCCCCCACTCTCAGACCCTCAGCCTCCCCACGGACAGTGGTCAAGGGTGGGGGGTCTATTCCGTGACCCCAGAGCGTGGCCATGGGACTCTGGGTAGCTTCCTCACCTGTCAGTGGGACAAGTCTCCCCGGAAATGATAAAACATTAGGACTGCTGTCTCCACGGAGCTGCCGCCCCGGCCGTGACGCCTGCCTCCCAAGACGCGGGCCGACCAAGTGAACAGACGGCTCCGCTGCCTAGAAAGGACCCACGAAGGCCACCGCGGGAAGCCCAGACCCAGGCGCGCTCGCGAACGTGCTGCGCAGCCACACGTGTAGGCCCACTGGAGAGCAGTCCGGAAGCCCGGTCAGACGCTGCCCCAAGGCTCTCCCTCGCGGGCCCTGGAGCGGGGCAGGGGCGCACGCAGCGGCCGGAGCGGTACGTGTGCGAGCCGGCAGCGCCCGTCGGGGGGAGCACACCCACGCCGCGCAGGTCACCTACTTGATGCATTTGATCCACTCCTCCTTCTCCTCCGGCGTCGGGGCCGAGATTCGGTACACGGTGTGGTTCCCTTCCACCACCCGCCCGTCAGCCTCCGTCTTGCAGGCTTTGATGACTTGGTCCTTATTGTCGGGGATGTAAAGCTCAAAGCAGTTCTGGGAATCACAGGAGAGGACGGGGTGTCAGAGATCCGAGGCAGCTGCTGACCAAGAACAAAGCGCGCGTCTCCCTGCCGAAGGCTCCCGCTCTGCCCTCCACAGAGCGGGGCACACGTTTCCTGCGAGAGCCTCGCGGCGGCGAACGGAGCACGAGGGGGTGTGTCACCAGCCTCCTCAGCAAACACAGCAGCCTCGCGTCCGTCCGCTCCCACACACCGAGAACGCGCGCTCTCTGGAGCCCGCCCTGGCGCGCCCCAAACGGGAGGGTGTCTGTAAGGCGTCCGGAGGTCCTAACTCGAGCGGCCCAGCCGGAGTGCCTGCTGCCGCCTTGTAAGGAGGGACAATTCCATCCCCCGCGGGACTGTCCACACGTGACACTGAAGCACGTGGAAAGAACAAAGAGGTCACGCACAGCCTCATCTCTGGCTTGAACACTAACGAGAATTTTAAAGTCAGACCAAAGTAGAGGGATAACACTACTTTCAGTTTCAAGTAAATCTTGGCAATTTCTGTCTTTTTCAAAGAACTGCTACCCCACTCCCTTCTGTCCTCTCCCGTATCCCCGATACTTACTGGTTTTTTGGAGTCCTCTACCTCCCGGATACTCAGATTCTCTAAAGGGATGATCCCACGGGGCTCCTTGTCCTGGAGAACAGTTGCAGACAGAACGACGTCACTGCCGGGTCAGGGGCACGCAGCCCATCGCATCCCTCACCCACACGTCACCCGGGCCTTCCGCTCTTCTCCCTGAGCCCACACATCGGCGCCAGGGCCCACACCCTATGTTCTAAAATCCGAAGAGGGCCAGGGAGCGTCTGGATACACGAATCCCTGTGGCCAGGGGCCTCTGCAAGGAGAACTCCCAGGGGAGACTCAGCAAGTGTCCCGAAAGACAGCATGTGTCCCGGAAGAGCCTGGGGAGGCCCTCAAGCAAGGAGCACGCCCGCCTCGCTCACCCAGAAAACCCCCTGGCCTCTCTGCCTGGATCCCGTGTGCATCTCTTCAGCCTCTGGCCCGGGGCCGGCAACCCCAGAAAGCCCCGGGCTCGGGCCAGATGCCCTGCTCCGTGCCAGCAGAGCCCGGGAGGGTGGTGTGTGTGACCTCACGACCTCCTGCCCTGCTGTCCCCCTCGCCAGACAGGAGGCTCTTCAACAAGAACCTGCCTTCCTGACCGCTCCAAGTAGGGGCAGCTCCACTCCTGTCCGCAACAGAACAGCTTTGCCAGGCCCTCTCCCCCCCCCCCCCCCCCCCCCCCGAGTGTCCCATGTCAGTGAAGGTCGCCGGAGGCACAGACTTTACACCTACCCCCGGGACATCCCGCCACCTGCCAGCCCAAGGTCATTCCAAGGTCATGGCGTAGCTGGGCTAAGCCTTGGCACTGAGCTCCCTACGACAAACGTTCCCCGTGGCCCTGCGCTCTCTCCATCCGCAGACGCAGGTCCCTCTTCCTTTTCGGGGAACAGCCCCGTCATCAATGGCATCTCTGAACACGCAGGTGCTGGGACGCAGTACTGGGACCATCTTTCTCTGTCCTGCACAACTGCTTACCTCTCCCCTAATTGTTCACAGACTTGGCTTTTCCAGATACGATCTCTGTGACGGCCTCAAACCTTTCCTCTGTGACGGTGATTTTAGTCCTGGGTCACCTGTTCACTCCTTATAGTTTTTACTTATTACGTAACCGTCCGTCAGGTACAGTCTACACATCACGGTGTGTCTGGCCCCTTCCAGGATCTCAGGACAGAGCAGGGAGCGGAGGCCAGGGCCATCTCAGACACTCGCCACGCCCTGGCTCTCTGCTGGGACCGCAGACGTCCGCGTGGGGGTGGGCGGGCTGCTCGCAGGCGCGCTCCCTGTGGACGGCTCTCCCACCGAGTGCACAGTCCGGAGCCCCACGGCCACTGCGGGGAGTGAGGCCCGCTTCCTCACGCACCCGTTTCACCAGCTCCTACCCAGCAGCGGGCTTTACTGCTCACCGATCAGAAGAGGGAGAAAATCCTACTCCGTTTGCGTCTCCCAGACTCAGGGCAACAGGGAGGTGGTGGGGCTCTGTGAGGAAGGGCCCCTCCACTCAGGGCCCCAAGCCACAGCCTCTGTCCCTGCTCTCAGTCGCTGCGCTGCACTAGGCGGAGGTCACTCTGCCTTCCCCGGCTGCCACCCCGCACTTCCTGACCCCAGATTTCCCGCACTGTGTCAGGAGATTTTGAGTGGAAGCTCGGCCACCGTCTCAACTGGGAGGCCCCTGCGTCTGCAGACACACATCCTCTGATGTCTGTGGCCTGACACAATGCTGGCCGCTGCTGAAAGGGGAGTGGGACTCGGGCGATGCCCCCGCAGTCCGCACCGTGAAGAACCACGGCATTCTGGACTCTCACGCATCACCCCGGGCCCGCTCCAGAACTCAGGGCACACTGCGTAGACGCCAGTGTTTTGTTCCATTTTACTCCAAAGAATAGTGAAAAAAAATCCCAAAGAGGCTAGGATGCCACTATCCAGATGTCTTTGAGAAAAAAGGCAAACTACGGGCCAGGCGTGGGAGGGGGGTATAGAAAGGAAGGTGCTCTGGGGTGAAAAAGAGAAAATCACTGACTGGCACAACAGGCAGCCCTTGAGGGCAAGTGACGCCCTCTCAGGCCAATCCCCACTCCCTGCATGAGAAGCTCCGTTCGCACGGCGTCGGCATGGAGGACGGCCGCCTCACCCAGGCCCGTGCCAGGGTCCTGGTTCCTCCCAAACTCGCATCCGGGGCTTCCACTTAGCACACAAGTCCCACCGTGCTCTACACGTGTCAGACACGACTTTTCCAGATCTCCATGATCCCGCGGGATCCATGACCTTTACTCAGTGAAGACCTATGTCAGGACACAAGCCCCCCGCGGCCGAGCAGGACGGACACGTGGGAGGGGATCGAGGGACAGCTGGGTGGCCAGTGTGAGCCCGGCCGGCCAGGCATGCTGGGCACTGCACCAGAGGGAGCGCCGATAAACATCTTATTTTCTCAGTTTCATTCTCACCATGTCTTACTACGAAAAAGACTTACACGTATCTATCTGCATCACGATTCCGTCCCCTCTAAAAACCCACAGAACTTCCATGGACGAAGAAAACTTCAGACTCCAGGTAATTCCCGACTTCTCCCGCTTCATTTCACTTCCTCCTCCTCTATTACATCTTTCCCTCCTGGGCTGCTTCTCCCGAATCTGGAAAACCTGAATTCTCCACGCAGTGATTTTCATCCCCCTTTCAAGGGGCCACAGATTCCTTCTTGGCACCTGACCGCGTTCCCAGTTTCTAGCCCGGCTCTCAGCCCCATCCTAATGCCGTGTGCGACGCAGGACCTCTGCCTTCTCCAGCCCCGGTCCAGAGCTAGAGGTGGGTCCCCACCATCCTCAGGGCCCCCGACTCTGGGGGCTGTCCCAGCTCTTCCTCTTTACCTCAGGTCTCCTGCCAGCCCTCCCCAGGGCCACCCCTAACCACACCTGACTGGAGTCGTGCAACAAAGAGGCCTGGCCCACCCCCAGTCCGTGGTGGACCAGCAGATGCTCACCGTCGTATATTCAAAGTAGTAAAGGCAGTTGTCGGTCAGAATAAACCAGCGTCTTTTCCAAGTCTTGACTCTGCCACCTGCAGAGCAAATAGAGGTGCACGTCGGACAGGAGCCAACCGGCCCGTACAGGCTCCGTAACACGGAGCCCTCGGAGAGCACGAGGGAACAGGAAGCAAGGGGCAGGGCACCCAGAGGACACGGAGACCATGGCAAGATTTACATCAGTAACAAGACACAGAGCCAAAACAGAAGCACCTTTCACAGAGTGAAAGTCTGTGGGAACAGGCAGAGCAAGCAAGTCAGGTGGCGCCTGGAGATGAGCTCAGGAGAGTGGGATGAGAGCATGGCGTAGGGGAGGGCCCCGGGCGAGGACACGCGGTGCACGTCTGGCCAGGCTGGAGCAGCGCCAGCGGGAGCGTCGAGTGGTGGAAATGGGCCCATGGAGGACAAAGAGGGGAGCGGGTCAGCCCCAGTCCCAGCTACACTGTGAGGGCGCCCAGCCCAGGGCACAGACGTACGCAGGGGTTCAGATGTGTTAACCCTTTACAATCAAATCTAGAGTTTTCCTGGAATGTGGAACCCAAACTCCTGGGGTTTCACCCTCTACCCTACCTTGCTGAGTATAGTGCACTTCTGTATGGCTTTCAGGCCCTGGGTCAGTATCCTACAAATGACATCTCCCCAGAGTCCTGGAGGAGACAAGGCGGAGTTCCCGGATCGGGGAGGAACCCACTAGTGAGTGGGAGAAGCGCTCAGGAGCCTTTCCAAGCCCAAACTTCTCACCTGAAGCGCTGACCACTGAGCTAGGGGACGGGCCCGCAGGCCAAGAGAGCACGGACAGTGGGGCCGTGAGCGCCAAAGGGCCTCTCCGTCCTCCCTAACGTCTCCGTGAAACAGCAGCGCTGGGGCCGAGAAGCTATGCTCACGCTGGGGAGGGAGGCTCGGTGGCGGCCTGTTTCAGTGAAGCTGCCTCCCGCTCCCCTCGCGGCCATGAGCCGGACCTCGTCTTGGTCTGCTTATGTCGGGCAAGGGGCAGCTTTCTGAATGCGAACCACACAGAAGTCACGCAAAGGCCTTCCTGTGTTTCGATGCGCACGCCACTGTGTGCACCTCTTACTGCCTCGACAGACTACGCTCTTCTCGCTAAGACTTAACCTCCAGAGAACATCACTTCTCCAATCTTCGCAAAGACAGGCCCACGGGCTGCGGAGCTGGTATGACCTTAGTCATGCTTTCGCCCCTGTCCCTCAGCACAGGCAGCTGAGCTGAGAGCAGGGGCGTGCTGCCACGTGCTCACACCGGGTCTTCTGACGGGACGTGACGGCTGGAGCGCCACACAGAACATTACGGGGAGGCACACCCAGCCCCGGTCCCGGCATCGAGCAGAAAGCCTGCTGGACTTCTCCGTCCCTTTCTCGGCTCTGTGTGGGGCCTGAAGCGTCAGGGAGGTTACGTGATCGATCGTGAACTGCACAGACCCAGGGTACGGAGGCCTTCGCCGCTGGCCCGCACGCACTGCCTGCCTGCCGGGGCCCTGTGCGAGGGCCGGCCCCCCCGCCAGCAGCGATCTGCCAGTTGATGTGAGCAGGAGCCTCTGGTCCCTAAGGCCCTGGGCATGAATTCAGGAAAAAACCACAGATGGAAGTATGACATGCATGTGGCAAATGGGAAAGGCTGGGCAGGATCAAAACAGATGAGGAAGAAAAAGAAGACAAGGAATCTATTTAGAACGGGAACTGATATGTTATAAAAAGGGACACCCCGCCCCCACTTCAGAGCCTGAGAAATCAGCTCTTCTACCTCTCCGACCTTCATCCCCACGCAGGGCTCCGTACACTGGACACCTCAACCCATGCTGACTCCCATGCACTCCCCCGCAGGACCACCCGGGGGCCCTCGGGGCTTAGGAGGTCATGGAGGAGGGGTCAGATGCGACAAAGAAGGTGGAAGGAAATCTAGGAGGAAAAGCAAAGCTGGAAAGATCCCCTCCCTGATTACAAAAGCTGGATGATGTCCCCTGGCAACCGGCTGCGTTACCGAGACCTCTGCTGTGAGAGACATCACGGTGGCCCGGGGGGAGCATTTCCATGTGGAAGGAAACAGACATGAAACAAGCAGACAGACCAATGCGCGCACCTAGGACAGTCCCTGTGGAACTCACAGGACCTCTCCCACCCCCGAGGCGAAGGCCAGGCGTCGGCTTCCCTAGCGCTGACGAGTCCCCAAAGTGCTAAGGACAGTTCTCTCTGCGTGCGGCTCTCCGGGCAGGTAGTGCTGGAGCACACGCCTGAGGGGCTCGTCCTCCAGGAACACAAGCCCAAACCAGCAAATGGAGAGGAGAGAGCAACAACATAACTAAGAGGCCAATTTTGGGTTTTTACCAATATTCACTGGAAGAGAGGAGGGAGAAAAACACAACGGAACATGAAATACGGAGCTCAGGTTTAAGGCCCTCCCTAACACCTAGGACTTCTGGGGTGGGCTTTTGGTCTTTATCTTTCTTTTCCCCCCAAACTTGGCATCCTTTGAGTTTAGGAGATGCCACTTCCCTGTCCCATGCAAAGGCAAATGTCCCAAGCTGTCTCACTTGCTTCCTGTTCTGGCGGCTTTCTGATCACGGCCTATCAGAAGCACGGGGTGCCGGAAGCCAAACCTTCCCTCTCTTCCTCCTCTTCCGAAATCACTGTAATTCACAGGTGTGGTCAATTTGAACGCGACACATACAGAGTATGCCTGGCCAACGTTTCCAAGAGAAAATGCAGTGAATGCTTTCTCTGCTTTTAGAAACCCACTTAGTATGTTTCCTTGCACTACCGCATTCAGTAAGTTTAAATTACTCCGCGGCCTGGTGCCTAGCCGTCTAATGCACTCTGCACTAGCCCTAAAAGGGAAAACACGAACCCCTGATCCTGGCCAGTTCCCTAGGGACTGTACAGTAAGTTAGAAGCAGCAGTAACACTACCACCAGCAATTAAAAAACAAAATAACCAAAAATAACAAAATAAGGAAACGCTGTAGCAAGTACAGTGGCCTTGGCAGAGCGAGCGAGCAGGCTGGGGGGTTACATACCTCCTGGAGTTTGGGGCAAGGAAAAGGAGAGCCAAAATCATGGAAACATACAAATGAGGGAGAAAAGAAAATTAAAACAAAGAAATTAAACCAAACTCCTTAATCTTAAAGTGCAATGTATTAGTCATTCCCATCTGCCCCAGGGGAGCCAAACATAAAATCACTAAGCGGGCAAACGCCACTGCTGGCACATGAACGGGGAAGCCTGTTTCACCTGCCACATGCCGCCCAGGGAGGGCGGGCTCTGCAGCACTCCCGGAAGCCTGGCCCCGAAGATGCGGCAGAGCTGGGCTCACAAAGCTAAGGTTTATTAGTCTATCCGGAATCCAGAGCTAAGAGAGGAAAATGGGGGGGAAATTTAATGTCTTCCTGCAGATGGCTGTCACTTTTTAAGGTGTGTGTAGGAATGCACACACATATTCCCATGAATGCATACGTACATATGTGTGCACACAGAATACACACTCTTACACGGACACACACACACAGCTGCAGAGGCCAGAAGCCTGCCTTCTGCAGCACGTGGGTACACAGGGGTGATCCTAAGTGGCTACGATGAAAACACGGTAGAACGAGTTAGGGGTTTAGGGGAACTTTAGAAAAGGCAATGCAATGACCTAAAAGTCAGTCCCACATTTTGTTAATTTTTTTTCCTTTTAAAAATATGGGATGCCTCATGAATGTACATGTCATCCTGGCACAAGAGCCAAGATCATCTCTGCACTGGTCTAATTTTAGCATCTGGGCTGTCAAAGCTAACACTCAGCATTAGCATTTAAACAAATTTCACTGGAGGAGAAGTAAATCCAAGCTTGGATGTACTTTTTAAATTTCTAGTCGTTTTCCTTTTAGCTCCATCCACTTGGCAGGAAAAGTGCAGGGCAAGATGGCTGTCTCTGAGGTTAGCAACTGTTTTCAAGGATTCTATTGGCTTAAAGACCTGAGAAATGTTGACCAACTCAAGAGGGGAGTCAAACCTCCAACTGGGAAGTGGTGCTTTAAGGAGAATTTATGAAGGAGTCCTTATAGGGAAACACGAGGACTTGGGATACGCTTTTTAAAGGACATACATCCTACTGCTACCTGAACTTATTTAAAAAGACTCCATTTCAGCACTTCCCAGAGGTGTCAGTCATCGCCAAGAGAGCAGTGACTTCTAACTGCACCAGGGCTGGCAGCTGAAACGGTAGCGGGCGGTGACCCCCATGAGCACCCCGGGTGATGAGGGAACCCAGGCATCAAAAGGCCAAGGCCGAAGAAAACAGAGGACCGTATCCTCTCAGGGCCAAAAAAAAGTGCCGATGATGGCCAGGGGTTCTCCTGGTGCTCTGGAACAATTACTGAAATAACCACACGTGGGCACAAACGTCATGAAAACCCTACTTTTCCTTTCGGTCACTCTCTCACTCTAGGCATGACTGAAGTCTAAGCACATAAGCTCACTTTTGGCCAAGGGAAGAGGAACACTTTTTAAAAATCTTTCTAAATGAGCAGAATCGTGGAAGTGGCTGATCTGGGTTGGCAGGGAGGTTTCGGGGGGTGGGGGACCGCTGCCCGGGGACGAGTGAGAGCGCCGAGGGTCGCGGTGCAGCCAGGGGCTGGGGTTTGCCATGCACGCTGCCTGTGGGGAGCCGGATGCAGAGGTGGTGATGACGCGCTGGGTGGGGTGGGGGGGAGAGGCGGGAGCGCCAGCTACGAGCCTGTGTGATGGGAAGTAGAGAGATGGACATGGCTGGCCACCCTCCCGGGGACCAAGAGGGCAAAGAAAGGAAAAGGACCAGGTTCTCCAGGGATTGGCTTGACACAAAACCCGGCCAATCGATTCCAGGGTAAACACGTGGCGTGCAAACCCACGGGAGCACATTGGTGCAGGGTGAGTCCGCGCCCAGCGGTAGCCCTATGTCCCGCGGGGGCACTGACCGCATGCTCCTTTCCGGAGGCGGGTCTCGTTAAATACCAGGAGTTCACACCTCCATCTTGCCGCAGCGCCTCCTGTAACCTCCCCCCACCTCCTTGCAGCACGTGCATGTGCACGAGCATGCACACACCCTTTCTCTCAGTTTCTGTGCCAGGAGCCCCGACCCAGAGCGCGCTACTCACCGAGTTTCAATAGCCAGCCTTCCCGGTCTGGGTTGAAGAAAGTGTGAGTGAGGTCATTCCCATCATCCTCTGGGATTTTAAAAGGCTCGTTTTTTATGCTCTCATACAGATTCTGGGATAAAAGATGACACTGCCTGTCTCTGGTTCTACAAACATCTCTGCGCCCTCCCCCTTCCTCTTGTTCATTCATTGAGCGTGGGTTATGTGCCGTGCCTTTGTCGGGCACCGAGAACAGAAGAACATGGCAAGTTCTGCCTTCAGGCCGCTCGCAGACACAAAATAAATAAGGTGCCTGATGGATAATTAAGAAAGAAAAGAAAGCAGCCTAACTTGCACTCGCGCTTTCAGTTTCAAACTTCTAAACCCCTTCCCCCTCCCGATTCCCTCGCTCGCCTCACGACCCATTTCGTGCTGGGATTCACAGTTAAATGAGTTTTATGAGCAGACCCTCGGCAGAGCACCGGTCTCTCCCGTCCCAAGTTCACCGTCTCTGGGCTTAGAGTGTGCTCACCCGGAGCAGCTCCTCGGGCAGGTCTCCCCCGTCGTTGATGCCACGGTTCATGGCGATGAACCTCTCCACGGTGGGCTTATCTTTGACGTTGGGGTTGTGCAGGCTGGTGTTCAACATGATGATGGCAAACGAGAGGACGTAACAAGTATCTAAAGAGAAAAGCAGCAAGAGGATCAGAAACACCCCCCGGAAGGACCACAAACGTCCAACGCAATCAAGACCAACGGCCACGCTGTCAGAGGAGGAGACGACCGCACGCGCCTGACGCCGTCTAACAGAAATCATACACCGCGACCCGAAAACAGCCAGGCACCGAGAAGTGCGTCAAGCATCCAAGACTGAAAACGGATTATTTTTTAGATTGCAAAAGGAGACCACAGATGCCGCACCGCAATCTGAAAAACAACACGATGTATAAAAAAGAAAATACAAAATCCTATGACGCCACTGCCCGGCAACAACTTATTCTGCTTTTATTATTACACAAGTGGGCCCAGTGCGGCGTATCACCAGTGGGGCTCACGGATGCCCCCTCTTAGCAAGACTGGAATCAAAACAGAGACAGCTTTGAATCCTGCTTTCCTGCCGCCCTTGTTAGCATTTTCCCCATGTCAATAAAACCTCTTTTCAAGCGCGTACTTTTTATGTTCTTAGTTCTTGCACGAAACTGAAGGATGGCAGACCCGCGGAGAGCCGCGCTTCCGGTGCACACTTGCTCGAGAACATTACACGCCACCCTGCGCCCAGCCCCACAGACGCGCTCCCCACCGGTCACGGCCGGTTACAGTGTCCCCGCACTTTGACGCTGTACTTATCAAACTTGCAGTTACAAAGTAAGCGGGCCACAGAGACGCAGAACACGATTTTTAATAGGTGCACATTGCCTGCCTCTCAGCTACTACGACGTCCATTCCCACCCCTCACTCCTACTCCCTGGCCTTCTGGATCACTCCCGACTCTGCTACGCCAGCCACCGTTTAAATCAATGTTCTCGGCATGAACCCAGGTCCTATTGTTTTGGAAACTACCTAGTGCCAGGAAAGACGCCCGCAGGAGGCGCTGACCAGTGGCGGGGCCTGCGGCCACCCTACCTGTGGACTGGAACACGCCGTGGTTGCACTGGCAGTAGCGCTGTGCGAAAGCCTCCATCATCCGGTCGATCTTCTGGGCCTCTCCCGGTAGCCGGAAGCTCCACAGGAACTGCCTGAGTGGGGAGGACGGGCGTGTCGCTGGGCGGGGGATCGGGGACACCACTCCCTTCTCCGGGAACGGGGGCAGCATTTCCCATGGGTTTTAGTACAAAGGGGTGAAAGGGGACCCACTGGGCCGGGGCTTCTGCTCCTGCAGCTCTGAGCAGGTGCGAGCTTACAGTTCTACACCACGGTTCTCTTAGTCAAAGGTACAGTATTGAAGAAAATGTGAAAAATTAAGATTTTCCTATATAAGAGAATGGCTCTCCTCAGACCAACACACAAGACTGAGACAAAAATAATGCTCAGGCTAATGAGTGCCCATCTCCAGAAAATAAGATGAGGCAGTGGAAAGAGAAGATTTTCTAGCAGCGCTTTCACAGCTGATCCCCTTAAGTCCAAGAGAGACCCGTGACCAACAGGTCTCAGCGTGCATCACTCTCATCTATCCAAACAGCAACACGGCAGCTGATGCTGTCGACACCCCAGGCAGCGAGGTCACCGAAGGGCGGTGTCTCAGATTTTGTAAAAAAATGGGGGCACCCGGAGGGTTCAGTCGGCATCTTGGTTTTGGCTCATAAGCTGGAGCCCACTTAGGGCTGCACACCCATCGTGGAGTCTGCTTGGGATTCTCACCCCCTCTCCCTCAACACTCCCCAGCCTTTGCATGTGTGCGTGTGTGTGCACATGTGTGCACTCTCTCAAGTAAATCTTTAAAAAAAACACAATAAAAATGAAAATTTACTCTCTTTCTAAGATGAAGTGAACAGCTACTGACTTCCTATTCTAGGGCAGGGGATTCAAGCGTTTTCTACACTGAAAATTGGAAAAAATTTCAAACTATAATCATTCACCAACTTCCCAGTGAAATTTCCCAAATGAAAGACATGAGGAGGAGTTGTGCAGAATTTGCCTTCAGTGCGTGCTGTGATTCTGTTCTCTTTAACCAAACAATCCTCTCGGCCATGGGTTCTTCGGGATGTCCGAGAGAGCCCTCGAAACATCCTTCCATGAAAACGCCACACAGGACAGACACGGCATCGGAGACCTGCCCCGCCCACCTTCCAGAGCGCCCTCCCCAAACGCACTCACCGTAGCGCCTGGACGAGGTTGAGGTCAGTGAACTCATGCAACTCCACAAACGCGTGAAGAACCTGGATATTAAACTCGTCTCTAACAGGAAAAATAAAAGACGGGGGCGGGGAGTGGAAGTCAGACCCCGAGCCTGAGAACCCGCATTGTCCAGCCCCAGCCAGGCACTTCCCACGCTGAGTCCAGTGGTCCCGCGGGCTCCACACACAGCAAGGAAGAGGCCCACATCCCTCTGTCCCGCGCCTCCAGAACACCAGCCACTGTGCCCCAGAACTCAGCAGCCTCAGGACAGAACTCCCCCTGCGGACTTGAGCATGCCGGAGTTCCTGACCAGCCCACTCTGCCCCCGGCATCTGGCGAGGCCTCACCTCTCCCCCAGGTAGTCGCCGATGGCGGTCTTGTTGAGCCCCTCCCCTTTGTACAAGAACTGGGCGATGTCCTCACAAGTGTTCTTCAGCAGGTCATTCTCTATTAAGAACTGGATCCCCTAGAAGAGACAAGGATGCCAATGACACTCGCCCCGGAAACCTCCGGAACAGAGGGAAAGGGCAGGGGAAGAACGGGTGTCAGTGCTCCGCACACGCAGGAAGGATCAACGGACACGAAGGGTCAGGGGAGCCCGAGCTGAGGAACCGGGGCTGAGGACGTGAGGAGGGGTCGTGTGCTCTATGGAAGGGCAGGAAGCCGTGACGGACGGCGCCGGGCTCTGAGAGCCGCAGCGACCCCATCGTGGAGCCCGAGGACACCGGCGGAACCCTCTCACTCACCTTTTTAGGGTCCATGTTAAATTTCTTCCTGCCCATGGCTACCTGTTTGTTCCTCTGCATGTTTTTCCTGTAAAACAACCCCAGAGCCAACGTTAGTCCTCCGGCCATCGAGAGGCTTGGAAAGTCGAATGTCAATGCACCCACAGACTTTTTGGGGGTCTGGAAAGCGCTATCAGGAGAGCACGGGCGTACGAAGGTCTATGTGCGGAAGGTCAGCTGAAATCCTGACCCCAGCCCCATGTCCATTTGTTCCTTCTATGCTAAGGCTTTTCTTTCAACGTGATTTTTCAAAAAAATCTTTATCGAGCTATCATGTACGTATCACACAATATACGCATCTTACGTGTACATCTGAACAATTTCTAGTAAGCTGACAAAAGCTGTGCGGCCCTCACCATGACCGGGTGTAGAACACTCTACCACGCAGCGAGGCTGTGCCGCGTGAGCGAACGGCCCTGTGCCCGCTGGCCGGCTCGCCCGCGGCTGCAGCTGGGGCCAGGCGAAGCGACGGTGTCTTAAGCGCTGCGGCAGGAGCCTTGCCCCAGGTTCACTTTCACCTCCCGCCAGTGACCACCTAGGCACTCCGCCGCCAGCCACGGCACAGGGCATGCGGCACAGGACGAGAAGGGGCCACACCGCTCGCCGACGCCAGGGACCCCAGGCCCACTCTTCACTCTGGGCATCTCCTGTCACGGACTGGCACTGTTCTCTGCACATTCTGGCCACCAGTCCTCTTTCAGACACACCACAGCAAACGTTTCTCCTTGTCTGTGGCTCATCTGTTCCTTTTCATGGCATCTTTAAGAGCATAAGTTTTAAATTTTGATAGGCTCCAATGTATCCACTGCTTTAAAGCTACAATTTTGTAAAATGTGAAGTTAAGAAAGCTATCATCCGGGGCACCTGGGTGGCTCTGTGGGTTAAGCCTCTGCCTTCGGCTCAGGTTGTGATCTCAGGGTCCTGGGATCGAGACCCGCATGGGGCTCCCTGCTCAGCGGAAAGCCTGCTTCCCCCGCCCCCCCGCCTGCCTCTCTGCCTACTTGTGATCTCTGTCTGTCAAATAAATAAATAAAATCTTAAAAAAAGAAAGAAAGAAAGAAAGCTATCATCCCAAACTGACAGCACGGAGCCCGGAAGTGAAGACTGGGGGTTCTTGGGAGACCCACGCTTCACTCGTCTCTAATGGCACCGCCTGCACACAGTTGAAATAACAACCCCAACGGTCTTAGAAAGCCAGACAGGGGACTTAGGCTTAGAAAAATACAGACATGTAATGAGTTAGAGACAGCCCAGTTAGTGCATTAAGCACTTAGAAAACGGTCTGGGAAGCCCGTTCAAAACTAAACTCTGGAGGTCGCTGACGCGTCGTGCCGTCACCCTGCAAACAGCCCTCGTCGGGTTGCAGTAGGATACCCACGTCCATGCTCTGCTCCCAAGCGTCAGGGAGGCACGAGCGAGCCCCCTGGGGCACCCACACACAGCTGGGCGCTCCAACCTTTGGAAACGGTGCGAGTGGCATTAAGCTTTTCCTGGGCTCAAAGAAAAGCACAAACTCTAAATGCAAACACAGTGGACAGCAGAGGGAAGGAACACCAGTTCACAGAGTCCCTTAAGGGCTATTGAGGGTTTGGGGGCCTTTGGAGTTCTCTGGCTCAGTGTCTGCCATGATGTGAAAGGCTGTCACCTGTCAGAGCCCCTGCACTGAACAGGGGGAACAGAAAACATGGGGACGCATGCTCCTGCCGGGGACCGAAGATAGAAAGTGCACCCTCCCTTACGTAGGCCACAAGCACAGGCCGGGTGCTCGCTGAGGCTGTGGCCACAGCACCTGGTGGCCGGCTGGACAGACTCACCTTTCTTCTGTGGACCCGAGGTTTTCAATTTCATTAGCTACCTCTGCTATCTCATCCTTGAGCCTCTACAAAACAGACAGGTCAGAATTAGCAGGAGGGGCCAATGCCCGTGAGAAGAGCCCCTCTAACAGCTCACATAACTCTCCAACCACAAACAAGACAAAATAAGCCAAAATGAAATAAAATAAGACAAATCAGGGGAAAAAAATCTTTAACATTTGGAAAATCCATCTATTCGACAACTACGTGTTGAGCTCCTACCCGACGGTACACACTCCAGGGAACGGGCAGGTGGAAGAGGCCACTCCTCGCCTCCGGGAGTTCACCGTCTAGGGAAGCTTATCGTCACAGACGCTGCGTAAAATACGTACTTCTGCCCTGAAAGGCAGCGGCCTCCAGACAGTCTATGAGATCTGCGGCCACCACGCGACTGTGTCTGCAGACTCAGGACGAAGGGGCCCCACGCCCAGCCTGTCGGGCCAGCGGCGCTGGGGCCGGGCTAACACTGCCGCCCAGCGGCGGGCCACGGGAATGTCCACCCGAGCTCCCGCCTCTCCGCCCCCGCCCCCTTTCACGGGTAACACAACACAGACCCTCGGAATGGACAGTCCCAGCGAAGGCGGCTTCGAGGGAAGAACTGCTAAGACTTCTGAGGAAAAGTGAGTTGGGGGAAACCGGAGGGGAGACCCATGAGAGACTGTGGACTCTGAAAAACAATCTGAGGGTTTTGAAGGGGCGGGGAGTGGGAGGTTGGGGGAGCCTGGTGGAGGGTGTTATGGAGGGCACGGACTGCATGGAGCACTGGGTGTGGTGCATAAACGATGAATTCTAGTACACTGAAGAGTAATTTAAAAAATTAATAATTAAAAAAAGAAAGACTTCCAAGCATTTACCAGTGAAACAGGAATCAAAGAATTAATGCAAATGATCAAATTCTACTGAAGTCAACACCGGAGCAAGTCTTTCCTTCGCACACTCTGCAGCTCTGGGGTTCCAGGGCATGTCCCCTCCCTCCCCTTCCCGCCCCCGAAAGCCAAAGGCTTTGCCAAGAATTCTACAAGAATAACATCTACTGCCCCAACGGCTAAAATAACCCAACCAACGGCTTCTATGACTTACGTCCTACAAAGCTTCACAGTTACGCAAAGGATCTTAGAAAATGGATGAACCGTGCTTGCGGCTGAAGCACGTCACGGGGCGCAGGGCCTCGTTTAACCCTGACAGCAGCCTACCCACGGGTGCTTTCGTGCCCATCTCACAGCGGAAGAAACTGAAGTTCAAAGAATCCTTTCATCTGAGATCGCTCGTCCAGGAAGAGGCAGCGCCAGGACGGGACGTGGGTCTAGCTTAGCCCGAAGTCCATGTTCCAAGCACCCGAGCCCTCACCCCTGCCCCCCTCGGCAGTTAGAAGCCCACGTGGGAGTCAGGGGGCCTAGGCTCCCCTGGTTCTGGCAACCGAGCAGGCGGGTGAGGCTGCACAAACCACCTAAGCCAGGCCTCCCTCTTCTCACCGGGAAAACCAAGGTGGTTGTCGGTCACCACGCTCTGCTCAGCGCTGAGGCAGGGAGGGGGGCTGGTGTCAACTCGAAGATGTCATGAGGAGACCTTTGTAAAGGACACCTGTCACACCACACGCGTCCCCGCCGTGACCTCCTACCTGAATGTCGGCCAGCAGCTCCTGCTTTCTCCGCCGGATGTTCTCCAGTTCCTGGCGCTCCTCTGCGGTCAGGTCACTGGGAACTACAAGAAAGGAGGGAAATGTTACTAGGAAAGCTTTATCTCACCAAAAATAAACAGACTCCGGACACCACAAAAGGACAAGGACGCCACGGAAGAAACCAGAAGCCCGTTTTGGAAATGGGGACAGCTCTGGCTCCCATTCTCCCTCAGCTTCCCCGAAGGAAGACAGCACCCCGCTCTCAGAGAAAAAGCTCGCTGGAGAGCGCCTGCCATGGAAACGAGAGAGAAAAGGCTGCCTGAGGTCAGATGAGGTCGGCCGGGGATAAAAGGGGACTGTCCGCTGAGCCCTGGCCATCTTCAGCCTTGTCAGCGGGGACGCTTCAGGCCCCCGTGAACCCGTCTCTTGAGGCCTCGGCCCCCTCGTGGACCTCCCCAGCGACCCAGAACCACTTCTGCGACTCCCTGAAGTGGGGAGGGGGTGGTCCCTGCACAACAACATGAACACTTCTGTGCCATTCGGGGACAGGGAGGGGACAGACCAACCCGCACAGAGGGAAAAAGCCCAGAAGGATGTAGCCCAGCCGAGTGCCTGCTTGGCTCTGAGACTTTGCTCTCGGCCTTACGTGCTCTCCTGAGCCCATCCTGAGAACACAGTCACTGAATTCCCATCACAGGACACGTCCCCTCCGAGGCCACAGCTCCTCACCTCCAGGAGCAGGGACTTGGGATAGCAGCCCCTCGGTCAGAGGGGACACAAGCCCTCGGGTCAGGAAACCCTTGGCTCGAATCCCGCCTCCGACCCGCCACACATGGCCGCCCGCCCGGCCCACGTCCTCAGCAGCAGAGCAGGCGTCGCGGCCCCGCACTCGGCGGGCTGCACGTGGACGGAGGCCACCCGAGGAAGCGCCCAGAGCCCGCCTGGCGCTCCGCGGAAGCTGGAGAGCGTTGGCGACCGCAAACGGCTCCCAGCTGGATGGAGGGGGCAGCAGGCGGGTGTTTCCAGACAGGGCCGGTGGCGGCACGAGTCCGAACCGTGGCGACGGAGCCCGTGACATGGCACCAGGCCCGCGTGAGGACTGCGTGCGATCCACGCCACAGCTCGTGCGCAAGGTACAAATGCCCCCGTGGTGCATTTTACATCGACCGCATGCGGAACTCATTACTTGATGAGTAAAATACACAATTTCAACCGCTCCACGTGGGCTACATACAGAAAGTAACGCTGCATTTTGTGGCTCAGACTACATTTGCGCCAACAGCGTGGAGCAGGGACAGCAGCTCTGCCTGAAAGCACAGGACCCACAACTGTGTTTCTGCGACACTGAGACACTACTGCGGTCACAGCCACTTACTTTCCCCAAACAGTTTATACAAATCACAGAAGACAACACGAGAGGGCAGAAGCGACAAAGATGATGTGTAGAGCACAGGTCGACTACCTCCATAAGATAAGCTGGCCTTTTTTTTTTTTAAGCAGGCCGCACACCCAGCGCGGAGCCCAACGTGGGGCTTCAACCCACAACCCTGAGATCAAGACCTGAGCTGAGATCAAGAGTTGCGCGCTCAACCAACCAAGCCACCCAGGTGCCCCTAACTTTTCCTTTACGCAGAGTTCCCCTAACCCTTCTCTAGAAAAGTATCTTTTAAACTTCCCCAAGATGCACTAAAACATGCATTTGCTATCACGGCCTGATCTCCATACACAACAGTACCAAAAATGTACCTTCTTCATGGGACAGCCACTGGCATTTTCTATCCTTTTACCCTTCGTTTTCTTCATGGTGGCTGGGATGGCACAGTCTAACGCACCGAGTCCCACAGTAGGAGGCACCAATGTCGGAGGTTAGAGGGTTCCGGCAGATGACGGAAATCCAGCCCAGGTCACCTTCCGAGAGTGGCCTCGCTGCATCCCTGGAACTCCAGGGAACGCTCAGCAGCGCCGCCTGAGCAGCTGGACCCATCGGCTCGGGGGGGGGGGGGGGGGGGGGGGGCGGCGCACGCACTCTGGAGCAGGAGCCCGTACGGACGCGTGCTCCGTTCTCGAGAAAAGCACACTGGAAGCAGGGCACTCTAGTTTCTCTCCATCTCACAGAGGAGACTCTGTACCCCATGAAGACTGGAGGATCCCTTTAAGAAATAATTTCCTGAGGTTCTAGAAGACAAGTATTCTTCTAACATAACACGGTTTTGGACATTTGAGGCAACAGCTCATTTGTAATAGCTATTTGGGCCATATGCGCCCGGAAAAGCCAGTGTTTCTCCTTCCAGAGTGGAAAATCTCTGCGGTTGCTTTCTTTCCAGAACCTCACACTCACCCGGTCCTGGTTAGCCTCTGCGCATGACCACTCTTTGGGAAGGTCACCATCTAGCCTCTGGGGCACCCATTCAGAACCTGCTGCTGATCCTGCCCCTGCCAGCACACGATCTTGGAAAGAGTAAAGGAATTTTTTAAAAGCTATAAACCTCCAACACCAAAAAGTCATGGAGAGGGGCCTATGGCAGAAGAGGTTTCAACAAACTTCTGGGACAGAGAGCAGAGTGCCAACTCCCCCTTCCAGGGGCCGCGGGGGCCCGTCCCGGCCAGGTCTGCAGAGCCCGGCGCAGTGCCTGACAGAGCACAGGCTGCGGATGTCCGCACCCCCGGCCGAACAAAACCCCTGAGCAAGCAGCTGAGCCGGGAGACCGGGCACTGCCCTTCCGGCGAAGCCGGGTCCCGCCAACCAGACGAAAGCAGGGCCTCGATGCACACGAGGCCCGCCCCACACACGGAGCGCCCACTCGACCTTCTGCCACCGCGTCTTACACCACAGAGATGGCGGAACCTGCAGCCCAGACGAGCACCAGCAAGGCAGGGAACAGAAAACCCATCCTGGAGCCGAACAAAAGGAAACTTCAAAAGAACAGAAATCTCTGAAAAAGGGACAGTTGAACAATACGCTCCTGGAAATTAAACGTATTTTTGTCCCCCAGCTTTCTCCCACCAAAAAGGGGTTAAGAGATAGAGGGGGCACGTGCAGAACTAAGAGCAAAGAGACCTGAAGACAGAAGCAGAGATGGACTCGCTCGGGGAGACACTCACGTAAAAATCCCCAAGTCAGAGGATTCGAGATGATCCTAACCCTCCATGAGCAGGAAGGGGAGGAGGCGGCCGGTGTGACAGTGGGAGACAGAGGAGGGGCTTTCGAGGGTCTAAATAAAAATGACTTTGACCCTAGAATTAATTCACAGTCGATGCAGAAGACAAAACAGGATCATTTCAAACACAGGAGAGCTCCTTCGGGAGGAGGAAGACGCGCACACCAGGACGGGGCAGGAGCAGCCTCGGGAGCCCGAGGGAGCGCGTGCGCACGTGTGCACGCTCTCGTGCGTGGACGGGAAGGTGACCGGCGGCCTGCAAGCAGCCCCTCCCAGAGAAGGGATGGGAAGACCACCGAGAAGCATTTCTAAGATGTGGAGGCACCACGGGGCCTTCTCTCAACGAACAAAGAGGATCCCAGGACACAGAGCAAACATGAAGGGGATCGCGAGGCGGCCACAGCGGGCAGTGTTCAGGGGAGGCGAGGAAGCAGAGTCCTCTGGGCCTCCTCGCCGGGGGCAGCGGCCGAGAGCGCGCCAGGCCGAGCAGCAAGTACATCCGTGCAGCGGTGCGCACGGCCTCTCAACCTCCGGAGCTGGACCGCAGACACGGCCTGAAGGCGGCCCGCAGTCACGTGCTATCGTGGTGCAGGCCAGAGCGAGGGGTGGGGAAGGCAAGGCGGGTCCCCACGGCACCTGCTTACAAAACCAGGGACAGAGCTAACAGATCAATGAACAAGAAAATGAAGCTGTAAATATGTGTATGCAAGTCCCAGAAGTGGAAACAAAGGAACCAAACACTGAGGAACCATCCAGAATGGACAGCGAGAGAGCGGAGAGAACGATGTGAAGCGGGAGGGGTCGAGGGACCATCTCTGACTTTGATAAACCCATCAGTGGGATGAGAACATTAACGTGCACTTGGCGGCACCTACCAGAAGAAAACAGCCAGAGAAAGTGAATGACTAGCGGCTGCTTCTGGGGAGTGGGTCTGCGAATAGAGAGGTGGGTCCTATGAGCCCTAAATACTGGCTCAAAAAATACATGTAGGCACTACTGCATTTTAAAAAAGATTTTATTTACTTTTTGAGAGAGAGTACGCACAAGAAAGCAGAGGTGGGGGTGGGCAGAGGGAGAGGGAGAAGCAGGCTCCCCACTGACAGGGACACCCCCCACCCCAGGACCCCAGAATCATGACCTGAGCCACCCAGGTAACCCAATACTCCTGCACTTTTAAAATGAAAACTTTATAAAAACATTTGTCTGGGGTCCCCAGAGAAGACAGGCCTTCTGCGGCCCGAGGTCAGAAGGGACCCGCACAGCAGCAGAATAAACAAAATGTGTTCACGCGTGCGCCGACCTCCCGACATCAGCCGCAGGATCCCACCGCCCACCGCGTGCCAGCCTGAGCCGCCTGCGGTCACGGCGCTGCTTGCCTTCGGGTTCAGCAAATCACCTGAGAACTTTCACAGAAGGGCTGGTTTGCATCTCATCTGTCTCATGCAGCTCCCCCTGCGACCAGAAGAAAACCCAGCACCCCAACCCACGTGCCTCCCGCACTGAAACTCATCAAGGGCAGGTCGCCTCCTCACTTCAAGCCCAGGTGCACCCACTGCTCCGGAGGAAAGTCAACGCCATGGAGAAAATGCTTCCCTTCACTTAACAGCAGAGAGGATCCAAACCACGGCTGGGGAGGGAGGGGGTGTGCGACCCCCAGGATGGGGCAGGCCATGCCAGGGCAGGAAGGCAAGGCACAGTCGCGCACGTCCCACACCCCACGTGCCTGGAAAAGCAGCCTGGGCCCCAGCGAGGGCACGTACCAGTGCAGCGGCTTTCCCTCGAAGCCATGAGGGTTAAACAGAAACGATCGGCTGACGGGCCAGATGGCAGAGAAACAAACAACTCCTCCCTCCCCCGACTGCCACGTGGCTGCAGCACGCTTCTGTGCCAGGAAGGCGGCTAAGCCCCCTTCTCTAGAAAAGAATGGCAACCAGTGAGGCAGCAGCCCGAGCACAAAAGATGGGGGGCAGAGCGCCTGGGGGTCTAGAGGCCTCCCGAACACACTCCCGCGAAGGTTAATTTACAAGGTGTCCCCCTTCCAGCAAGGGGGCCAGTGAAGGATGGGCCCTCCCCAGTCCCTTGCAGGGGTCCAATTCAATGCAGGGGATTAAAGTGTGGACAACAAGGGACCATTGTGCTCAGCTGTGAATAGAAAACCCACACAAGGGAAGCTTCCATTTATTTCTTTATTTAAATGTTGCTCTGCAGATTTTACCAGTCGCAGAGCCCCAGAGCTGCAATGTGCCCCATCCAGCAAGTACAAAGGAGGACTGTCTTAAAGGGACAGCTCCCATCAACAAGCACACGGCTGCAATCCCGCTGGGCTCGGCGGCTCCCCCTCCGCAGCCCCCCTCTGCAGGCAGGAGCAGGTGCCCAGCGATCCGCCATGAAGTCCAACTGAGAAAGCAGTTCTTCTGAAGGCAGTTTCTGCTCAGCAGGAGCACAGGCGGCCGCGGGCCAGCACGGACCACTCTGTCCTACATCCCTGGCAGTGTTAAAGGTGTGCTTCGGGACGGAGACGCCACTCACGGAGGTCCTCCGGCAACACCAGATCCCTCTGCCTGGCTCTAAAGCACGCCACTCGCCTTGTTTTTCCAACCGTGACCATCAGCCGTCGCCTTCTTATATATAGCCCCTGCCTTTCAGTGGAGAAGAGGGGTCCAAATTTAAACCAGCACAGCAGGGAAATGTTTTAAGAAGGGAGGCCAAGAATCTAGAAAGGTCCTTCTTACCCCCCATGCCTGGAGAAGATGAACAGGCAGGAGAGAACACCCGATAGACCAAGTTCCCACCCAGGCTAGGGAGGGCAGCGGTGTGTCTGGACACTCCCCGGGACCAGAGGTACCCGCTGGTGTAAGCAGGGCCAAGCCTTCGCAGATCTGTGTGTTTTAGGAGACTGAAAATACACAGCCTCAGACACCCGACTGGGAGCCCCAGCTAGAACAGAGCAGCAGTGGCAAAGTACGTGCTTTCTTATACCCTCTCTAGAAAGTGCTGCCAGCTCTAGAGAGAACCCAGCCACTTACTAACAGCTTCTGGGTTCGAGAGGACACATCTGGGATGCCGTCCATGGGAGGAAAGGCGGTTTCCTCCCCTCCAGAGACTTAAAGGTGGAAGGGCCTGCGTCTACCAACCTCGGACCTGTGCAGATCCTACAGGTTCGATGCCTCACGCTGCCGCACCCAACGGGCTGAGTCACCTGGTCTCCCAGGAAATCCCAGTGACTTACAATGTGAAAGACTCAAGAGATTAGAAGGAACTTGGGCACTGGAGACCAGCATTCAACAAACTTTCACAAACCTCTCAATCCCAAACCGACACCAGAACACCTGGGGTCAGATCTTTGCGGCAGGGATAAGGCGGCGACCCACACACAGAGCAGCTCTCAGCAAAGAGCAACACGGGGACACGGAACACAAAAAGCTGCGATGACTAAGGAACTGCAGTGAAAGCCTCGGTCCCGAGACAGGGACAGGCCTCAGGACGGGCCTCAGGACGGCCAGCACACCCAGAGGGCAAGGGAGGGAGGACGGACACAGCACACCCATGGGCCCAGAGCCGGAACCAGGCTGCGCCGGTGAACCAGCAGTGCCGATGATCACATCAGACCTTTACAGAAAGTCTGCTGACTTCGGAAAACCGGTGACTCTTCCTTCCTACTAAGTCAAGACCGGGCATTCTTTCTAACCTGCATACAGTGTCATTCCACGCCAAGAAAGGACAGCCTGACACCGGCTACAACCCAGGGGAACCCTGAGGACAGCAGGCTCAGTGAAAGCAGCCAGCCATAAAAGGCCACTTGCTGAAGGATTCAACCTCCCTGAGGTCCCCAGAGCAGCCAAATCCACAGACAGAGAGTAGGATGGAGGCTGCCAGGGGCCGGGGGCAGGGAACTGGGGGGGCGGTGCTGACCAGGGACCGAGTTTCCATTTTACAAGGTGGAAACTTCTGGAGCCTGGCTGCACAACACGGACTATCTGGAGCGCTACCGAACTGTCTGCTTACGACCATCAATGTTATTTCACGTGTACGTCACCATCATGAAAAGTAAACTAAACATACGGAAAGTTAATGGCAATATCTTGACTCCCTGATTTCTGCTTACTGTGCTCCTCTCCCCCGACCGACTTACGGCATGTCTCACTACCAATTTATGGCCTAGGAGATTTTATTTTTTTGAAGGTTTATTTATTTATTTTCAGGGTGGGGAGAGGGAGGGAGGAGCGGCAGAGGGAGAGACAGTCCCAAGCAGATTCCCTGCTGAGTGCAGGGCCTGATCTCATGACCCGGAGATCACGACCTGAGCTGAAACCCAAAGTCCAACACTCAACGGACGGAGCCACCCGGGCGGCCCCGCCTAGATTTTGAAGGAACTTGAGCACAAAACGCGACCAGGAGTGAGATCAGCACGTGGCTCACAGCTGATACTCAGCACAGAGAGGCCAGCGTCCCTCTAGCAAACGGCCACACGAACATTTACTAGTCCAGTTTAACTTCTCTCCACACAAAAGCCACCAAGTCTCCTACTTAGGAGGAAGGACAGATACATTAATGATTTTACTGCCATTTTCTGCATCTTTAAGAAAAACTGTTCCAGGGGGGCTCCTGGGTGGCTCAGTGGGTTAAGCCTCTGCCTTCGGCTCAGGTCATGATCTCAGGGTCCTGGGATCGAGCCCCGCATATGGCTCTCTGCTCAGCAGGAAGCCTGCCTCCCCCTCTCTCTCAGCCTGCCTCTCTGCCTGCTTGTGATCTCTCTCTGTCAAATAAGGAAATTAAAAAAGAAAGAAAAAGAAAAGCTCTGTTCCCGCCTCAGTCTTGGAGCCGGCTCATTAGTCCAGAGAAGCTACCCGGCGTTGAGGGTGGGAGGAGGACCGCTGCTGGGGGCTTTCCTCGCCAGGTCATTCCAGGATCTCCGGCCAACCCCTCACCCTGCCCCAACTGGAATGGGAGGTCATCATCCCGGCCCTTCTCAAACAAGAGGACAGGTATCAAACAGCCCCACAGACACCCAGCTGGCTCAGGTACTGCGGCAACTCGCGATGGCAGGGTTGTGAGTTCGAGCCCCATGTTGGGTGTAGAGATCACTTAGAAACAAAAGCTTTATTAAAAAATGAAAACAAACCCACACAGCCCCATAAACTTAGTGGGGGAAAGGGTATTCTGTCCTCTTACCTTACACACAGAAGTGGACTGACACATTTTATCCAGTAAGTCCTAAGACTCCAGCACTAACCAGCCAAAAAGGGAGATGAGGTCAAATTTCAAGGTAGAAAAAGGGACGAAATCATAAAATTGTATCCTTAAACTTTGGTTTAGAAAAACAAAGTTAGGGGCACCTGGGTGGCTCAGCTTTCAGCTCAGGTCATGATCCCAGGGTCCACTGAGCAGGGAGCCTGCTCCCTTCCCACCCCACCTGCCTCTCTGCCCACTTGTGATCTCTGTCAAATAAATAAATAAAATCTTAAAAAAAAAAAAAAGAAAAAGAAAAACAAAGTTAACATCTGCTTTCAATGAAAGGTAAAAACTAGAGAACAATCTAGAAACCCTCTCCACCTTTTCTCAAGCCTGACAGCGATAAGATCTGCTCCGGCTGGAGCTCTGCAGCAGGACTCTCTCTGTCTGCAAGGCTGTCTTTAAAAGATCACAGGAACGGAAAGCAGAGCTGGAACCAGCTCAACAGGGGACAACCATTTTCTTGCCTGGCCCCCTTAAGACAGAGGCAGAGTGCTCAGCTCTTGGGGAAACCCTGGGAATTCCCTACCCAACAGACAGACCAAGTCATCTGAGCTCGCCGCCCTTTCTCCTAAGGGAAGGGCTCCAGGAACACCCCTGTGCCGGATGCGGCACCCCTTCCATGGCACAGCTGTGTGGCCACACCCCTTTCAGTCCAAAACAGAGGCTTGTGGGGGTGGTTTTAAGAGGTCAGTTTTCTCTCACTTCACCTGCTCTTAAAACCTATTTGTATGCCAGCTCTTGGTAAAACCTTCATTTTTTGGCACACTAAAATATTCTCTGTCCGTCTGATCGCTGGAACGGACCCCTAGGATCCAATGAAATGTGCAATTCCAACTCCTTTCCTGGGCGTACTGCTGGGAGGAGGGCTACCCACTCCCAGGAGTGGCTCCAAGGTCCTCAGAGTCACGCAAGGTCAGGGCCTGGGTCCAGAGGGGAGAGGATCGCCCTGCATCCGTCCCTCTCTTCCTGCTGTCCTGTCACCTCGCCGAACCGGGGCCACCAAAATTGGCCATCAGCTTGCTCCTGAACCTCAGGCCTAGAAAAAAACCACACTGAATACTGGAACATCTACCCCAAGAAGCCAGTGGAAAACCCTAGGAGGAGAGAACACGCAGAACCCCGAGGCGGTCATGCAGAGACGGCCGCGTGCGCAGCACATCCCGGGCTCTGCTGCCAGGAGGGGGAGAGGCCCGCAGCGGAGCACACCCGAGCGGACCGCACACTCCGCATGACGCCCCGCGCGCCGAGCTCACGCGCCACCGCCCGGCCTCTTACCCAAGGCGAGTCCCCTCTCCGGCAGCCCCCGCAGCCCCCGTCAAAGCCTGGGCCGCTCGCCGCTCTCCGCTTCAGAGGCCATGGTGGGCCGGCACCGCGGCCCCAGGGCGCCAGACTCCCGGGAGCTCCCGCAGCCCCCGGAGGACGGAGGGACGGAGCCAGCACGGCATGTGCGCCGGCACAGCCAGGGTCGGGGAGGCGGCCGGGAACAAAAGCCGAGTGGAAACCGAGGACGGAGAGGGAGCCGGTCCTGGCGGGGAAGGCTGGTGGGGACAGAGATGGCCGCGGAGCTGCTGCCCGGGTGACACTCGGCGTGTGTGCCGCTCGGCTCAGCTCCTCGCGGGCGTATTTCCATGAATGCGATTACAGCCGGGCCCCTCCTACTACCCCCCACGCGGCCTCCTGGGGGAGGGGTGCAGATCGCTCGCAGGCTGCACTTGCTTTCCTCTACCCCAGAAGCAGAAGGCTGATGGCTGCTTCCCTGGGAGGATGTTAACCCTTCCCTGAGGTGCCCTCTCATTACTGAGTGGATGGACGAGGGGGCAGACCTACGGGGCGGGGGGGAGGCTGTTCCATCACACTGGGCACCTGGCCACCCCTCCTCCTGCTTTGCACCCCAGGAGCAGGCAGTCATGCTGACCAAAGGCCCCCGTGCTCCGGGGCCCAGGCCTCGCGTCTCCACACAAGTGTGCTCCAGCCTTTCCAGCAGAGGCCTGGCCTCCCACTCCCACACCGGAGGTGGCAGCACCACATTCCGGCATATTCTGGTTAGCAGCAGCTCAGCAGGCTGATCTCGGGGACAGTACCGTAAAGAGGCCGGTGACATGAAACATCACCGCAGCCCGAGAGCCGTGGCTCTCAAACTCAGAGGACCCGGGGACAACCCACGGGCACCCTTAAACACACAGACTTGGAGCCCCAGCACCCAGGACGTGGGTTCCACGTTAGACCGGAGCACGAGATGACTCGAGGCAGCTGTCTTTGGCTGGTGAGGGAAGAGACACAAGGTTCTACAATCAAGGTTCTACAATCTACAAAGCAGCACTTTGGAGGAAAAAGAGAAGAGAAACCATGACACCAGCTTGGGGCTCTGTGACCTCCTGCTGGCTCGCTCTCCGTCACAAGGGCGTCCAGGCAAAGCAGGGGGTTGAGCTGAGCACGCCCACCACCTCACCTCCGGATGGGACAACCCACAGTGTCTCTAGGCGTTGCCACATGTCCCCCGGAAGGCAGAACTGCCCTGCTTAACAACCACTGCTCCCCATGACCAACAACGGAGAAGACAAAACCATCCCCACGCCCCCCAACCAACTTCCAGGCTTCGGTCCTTAGGAAGCTGCTGAGAGGAGGCACCCCCGGCAAGGCCTGGCCCCACCCCACCCCTCGTCCTACTAACAGAGGCTGCATGCCCCTGGGGATTCCTTGTCACCAGCACAGGGTCGCCAGACCTGACCCAAATATCCCAACTCTGTAGCCCAGCCTCTATCTTTGAAGAAATAGCCATAATAGGAACTATTTTACTTCTGTGCCAAAATGGCAGTTCTCATCTGTAAAATCTTACCAAGTCCATGAAAAATAAACCTCAGAAATACTCGTGAACCCTCTGCTTTGGGCTGCAAAAGGAACGAGCTTTCAACGGAGGCGCACCTGGAGTCCCCACCCGACACAGTCCCACCACCTGGAAAGCCAGCCACTCCGGCCCGCCCCAGGGAGGGTCCTCCCCATTCTCACTCCCAGTCTCCCTTCACTTCCTTGTGTCTAGGGACTCATGCTCACCATCCCTCAAAAGCTACCACTTGCAGGGAAGACTCTGGGGCCACAGCAGACAGATTCCCCTCTCATTCCACACGTGCTGTGACCGTCACCTAAGCATCTCAACCCACGCCGCCCCTCTGTGTCCACTCATGCAGCCTACCGTCGGGCGACGCGCTATCCTTCCAGGGGGCTCCTCTGTCCAGCAGTAGCCCCTGCTCTACGTAAATAACCGGGGCTCTCCTTGCTGTTCTGAGGCAACACCACTGGTTTGTACACAAACACACACAGAGCAGGGACCGACAGGTCCCTGCTGGTGGCTGCCGACCTCTCACCTCCTGCCTGAGACGCCGTCACGGTGCCCCCAGGTGACCACGCCCACGGCCGCCCAGCCATTGGAGGACCTGCCAAGCCCAGAGGCCTGGGAGCCGGGGCAAAGGTTCAGCCTGAACCCAGGCCACAGGCGGCTGCAAGCAGAACCCAGGACAGTCAATTCTCAGCACAGACCACAGGACCCAGGACGTGAACAGACAAGAAGTCAGAGCAGTAAGCTACGGACAGAACGGCTGCAGGGTGGTCCTCCTCGTGTACGGAGAGGACAGATGCTGAAATAGCCCCAGATCAAGTTCATGAAATCACAGCGATCAAACACAAAGACCGTTCACAGCCTAACTAGTCATCTCAGGAAATCCACCGAGAGAGAGAATAAGAGTTTTTAAAAATGGTTTTCTCAGACTGTTAATTCAACAATCTTTAAAAAAAAAAAAAAAAAAAGTGTACCACCATAAGCAAGGCGCCCTGTTAGCTACCAAGAAGATACAGAGATGGCGAGACATGGTTCAGCCCCCAAAGAGCTTACGTGTCACTATTCCCTTGGAAGGAGAATCAGGCAGGTAAGTGAGAGGACGATGGCAACAGGTGAACACGGCGGCCACATGCCAGCAGGCTGCCCACGGGGGCTGAGGCTGCAGCCTGCTCTGAAGGCCGGAGCCAGGAGGGAGAGGGTGCTCCAGGCTGGGGAGAGGGACAGGCACGTGAGGGAAAGGGGCGAACCCTCCAGAAAGGCGGGGAGAAGCCGGAGCCACACCGTGTCCTCTGACTCTGACACGAAGACCTCTAGATTCTGCCCCTGCCAGGGGCCCCCAGCTCCCCGCCGCAGGCTGGCATGAGACGCCCCTGTGCAGAGCTCACGTCCTGCCCTCCTCCCGCCAGCGCGGCCTCGGGCACACGGAGCCGGCCCCAGGGACCCCCAGCACGCGTGCGGGGCAGTCCGCACCACATACTCCGTCATCAGAGGTAAATTCCCACCTTTCAACTCGTCAAGCGCCCGAGGGTGCTAATCCTCGGCGGGAGGCAAGGCCCCAGCTGAGGTGGGCAAAGCCCCACGCCCCAGCACGCACAATGGACAGAGAGCCCGGGTCTCAATCCCCCGGTTCCTGGCACATGGCAACTGGGGCACAGAGCGTCAACAGCTGTACTCCATTCCTGACACTGAGACGTGCTTTATTTTTCTTTAGTAAAAGCTAAAGCATAACCACTTCTTGCGAGAGGCGAAGAATGACATCTGTCCCACAGAGAAGGGCCTGCAGACCTCTTGAGAGAGCAGCAGTGTCTCCTCCGAGCCCCAAGTGGGAGAACCTGGTTCCCAGAACCAGAAACCGACCCTTATCGGAGCTGCCCGGGGTCCAGAGAAGGCTTCCCGAAGTCTGAGAGAAACTGAGGAAGGGAGGCGGCCCCGGGCTGGGCACCCACCTTCTGCGTCCTGGCCGGTCGCGGCGGCCGCTCACGGGCAGGCCGCAGCTGGGGCAGGCACAGAGGCCTGGCCGTGGGGACAGGGCCCCCTCCCAGCGTAGGCCCAGCGCCCTAGGCCTTCCATTCTAAGAGGCTGCTCTCGGGGTTCTCCACCTCCTGGCCTTGGCAGAGGGCACGGCCGAGCCGGGAGCAGCACCGCAGGGAGGACAGCCATGAGGCGGCAGCAGGAGACGATGAAGCTCGGTGCCGCGGCCTCTGCCCTCGAGACCCCGGGCGGCACTTCTCCTTCTCCAGAATGAGCTGGGAAGGAGATGTGATCCGTGGGGGTGGGGGCTTTGGCTGGGAACCCCTGACACTGGGAAGGTTTCCGGTGGCACTTGTCCCTCTAGTAAACAGATCCCCGCCTCCTGGTCGCGCTGCTGATTCTGTTGTGACTGGCTTCTCTGGACCAATCCTCCTCTACCCCCAAGCCCCAAACCCCCAGAGCCAGCATGTGGCAGGGCCGGTGTCTCACACGGGCAGGACAGAGTCACCCGGAAAACAAAGGGAGACCTGAGCAGAGGCGGGAAGACCCCAGCAGGGAGAGGTCTCTCCCCGGTGCGTACGTCACAGGTCCTAAAAGCACTACGTACATCTCCAACGAGATTTTTACAGAGATGATACAAATGAGGCAATAATAAAGTTCTAACGAAGAAGTTTATACACGGTCCAGAAAAGCATGAAAGAGAAAAAAGGTGACATGAGACAGTGGCTCCTGGAGGCTGACCCGTGAGGCTCGGTGACAGGGGATAGCACAAGGGACATTTGAGAGACACTGACCCACCTGGCAGTGCCTCGGGTCACACAGTCTCAGGAAGAAATGACAAATATAAACAAATGTAAAGAGAAGTGCGCTGTCAACCCCTGGCAGTGGGGCAACAAGCCAGCCCGGCAGCGGGGAAAGACGAGGCGGACGCTCACCTCATTTACCTCAGCGTGAGTTCTAGCCGAACCACGGACTTGAACGTGGAGAAAGAAACCGTCAGAGTTCCAGCATAAAGCACGGATGACTCTGGTCACGGTCTCGGCCAGCGTGTCTCCCGCATGAAGACGAAAAGCTTCTGAGTGGAAACGGAGCCCGACCAGCCGAAGGCAGACAGCCGGGACGGCAAACACAGAAGCACGTGCCAAGGGTCATTCTTCAGGCCCCAAGGAGCAGCGGGAAGCCCAGGCAGACGAAGACCGACCCCACTGGGCAAAGGACACGGAGGCAGACGCGAGAGAAGAATACAGACGGCCAGACACTGAAAGACGCCTGACCTCTCTATAAACAGAGAATGTAAAAACATGCCCATTAACACCGTACCATACTGCTCTCCGACAGTCGGGCAGAAATTAAACGTCTGATGACATGGGGGACCCTGATGAGGGCGTGGGGGCACACGGGCGGCCAGGGGCGTGTAAGCTGGCACCGTCCTTCTGCCATACCAAAGCTCAAAAGCCACGTACCTTTCCATTCAGCACTTCCATTTAAGAATTGACCCCACCGACATCCTCCGGAAGCTGCGAAAGTTACAAAGTGCTTAAACACCATGCGGTCTCGACAAAGAAGGAGCTGATCTCTGAGTGACTGTCTAGAAAATTCTCTAAGACATACTCAGTG